GATCCAAACAAGTGTGAGCTGATAAAGGTAGGTTCGAAATTTTTTTGCTTTTGCTTTCTGCTAAATGTTCTAGTCAGCCAGGAACTCAGGGTGATTTTCCGAAATAGCAGCGATGGTTCTTTTTTTAACAAATTGTGCCGTAGTGCTTCACATCCACTGCATCTAGAATTAGAAGCAAGTAAATGCTGTATGTACGATGTGCAGGTATTAGTAGTATTTTTAAAAAATCTTTTGTTGAGCATCAATGAAATATCAGAAGAAGCGCTTAGGATATACAATACGCTACTGTGCAACTAGAGGAGAGAACTGGCGCCTCAAAAAACAAAGTATGCTACGAGAAAAATGGTAAAAAAGTGTGGGGTGAAAAGAGAATTTCGGGCAAATTGGTACATACAAAGGAATTTTAAGCTTTAATTTGAAGGTGACAGAAGTTTCCTGAAAAACGATGGGGCAGTTGCAATCGTAAAAGCAATTTCAAATATTAGGAACTCGATTACTAGATGGTTTCTGGAACACAAGAGAGCGATTTCAGTCATAAAAGCAGTTTCAAACAGCAGCAAATTTATTGTTGTTTAACAAATATGAATTCAATAATTTATTAACAAATATAAATTTTTCAACAAAACAAATATGATTTTTTTTAACAAAAACAGTTTTTTTTAAACAAAGACAGTTTAACAAATATAAATTTCATAATTTAAATCCCATAACCACTCAAAATGCCCAAGCAAAATAAGAAATATTTTAATTTTCGTGCTATTAGTTGTATTTTTGCTCAAGTAGGTTGAGCTGGAAATATATTTGTGTCAGTCTTCGAGTAAAAAACTGTTGTGGAATGTGCGAATTCGGCAATGTTGCATTTTTTTTACCCCAAAATCGCTTACATTTTGGATTACGAAGTTGTGATCAACATTGAAGAATGTATTTGGAGCATATAATAATATCGCTGTACTTTTATTGAAATTTGAAAATTTGCTGAATTTTTTTTTTTGGTATCTCAAATTTCATTTACTGCGTATGATACTTGGATGAAAGGGCATTGGAGTGATAATTTTATGCTGTCTTAAAAATGCCAAAGGGTACCTAAACAGAAGTACGCTTGCAGACGATATTCGCTGAGCAGGATACAAACTTACCAGCAGCAATGGTGAAGCCAAAATCAGGTAATTTGGCATGGTTTGTGGATGAGAAAACGTTTTATGGAATTTCCAATCAGTAATTTCTACAGGACTTTTTATACCGTATTGTATCAGTTGGTTCGATTCATTTCCACTTTTACTATCTTTTTTTTTTTCAAAAATTGCTCTTCAAAATGGAAAATGCCTTGACATATCACATTTTTTATGAGTTTTTGCATATTTATGCAAATGTAAAAACGTCTTGTCAAAGGCTGTCTGTATATATGTGTAGGTGTATGTGCGCATGGACGAGTGAACTTTTACTCATTTTCAGCTCCTGAACACAGCCTGAAATCAAAATTTGCGTGCACCCAGGTCTTTTTTGTGGACGCCTAGCAGAACACATGTAGATGTTTGGCGGGAAACGATTTCGGGAACCTTTTAATATAATAAGCTGAAATCTCATAGATACGGCTATGTTATAGATTGTCGCTGACAAGTACCAACACGGAATTAACCGAAAAAGAAAAAATGAAATTTTGTGAGAACGTTTACCGTCCTTGTGCGGGCGGCCCCTAGCCTAAATTATTAAATTGCACCTGCACCCAAGTCTCGCGTACGTGCAAGTAAAATTTTTTTAGTTTTGAATGATTTTGGCGCTGGTAGATTTGCAACAGGAGTAGGGAAGCCACAGTTTCTTGAGGATAAAAGCTCCGTAAGCATAAAATTAGCTTCTGCTTTCGCATATGCTCAAATATTTAAAGCGCAACACGTCTGTCATCCTTATTTCTCGGTAATCAGACAGCCAAGATTTGCTCGGTAATCAATCCCGCCTTATA